CCATTATTGACCAGCACTTCCAGATCAATGGACAAAAAAGTAACACATGTTCCAGAGTTTCCTCCTCAGCATTGCAGAACACACATGAAGAACTAGTAGTAGCAGCTAAGACCCCAATCCTTTTTAGGAAAGATGAAGTCTTCACCCTATCCCTCCAAGCCAGCCAACAAAAGAATTGCAGTTTTTGGGGAGCAAAATTTACCCATAACCCTACAGGAACATTCAAACCAGGACCTTTTGCTGCCACCCACCACTTCCACACAGAGGACACTGAAAACTGACCTGAGTTGTTAGCTAACCATGAGCAAGAATCTTTAATATCAGACTTGATTGCGGGGGATGATGCCAGCAGCCTTAACAACCTCTACAGCTCCTCTTCTTCCTAAGCAAATAGCCTTCTTCTGAACTGCAGCTACCACACCCCTGCATTGCTCTTCTTTGCACTGATTTGATGCAAAGTCTCCTCTTTATCAGTAGATAACTGATGTAATTTGGGAACTCAACCTTCAACCCTCTGCTACATACCCAGCCATCAAACCAGAAATGTATTCTCCTCACATTACCAACAAATACTTTAAAATGGTCATCATAAAATTCTCCCAAGTGGTGGTTGACTGCGGGCAACTTCACAATATCTTGCCAAATATTAGACATCCCACCTGTGTGAGTCACAGATGGCATTCAACCCCCACCAATTCTACAATACCTAGAGCACAATACAGATTTCCACAAAGCTTTGTCTTCATTTCCATACCTCTACCGCCACTTTAACAGCAAGCAGTCATTAATCTCTCCTAAGTCTCTTACACCTAAACCTCCTTGCCATTTACTTTTGGTTACCTCCCTCCATTGGACCAAGTGTACTTTCTTCTTATTTTCAAACCCTCCCCATAGAAAAGAGAACCGAAGTTTCACTACAGTCTTTACAACTTTTTTAGGCATCCTGAACAATAAAAGGAAATAGATGGACACATTTGAGAGAATAGATTTAATCAAAGTCAATCTACCCGCGAAAGATAACAACTTCCTCTTCCAGGAGGACAGCTTCTTCTTCACCTTTTCTACTATTGGATTCCATGTACTCTTCTTTCTTGGATTCGCCCTTAAAGGTAGACCTAAGAAGTTAAAAGGCAGTTTCTTAGTCAAACAGTTCAAGGTCTGAGCAAACTCCTTAGTTTGGTCCTCTTGAAAGCCCACACCACAAACAACACTGTTGTGGTAATTGATCTTCAGCCCAGACATCACCTCAAAACACCTCAACACTCTTTTTATATTCAGTACTTCCTCCAAATCACCTTCACAGAAAATGATGGTATCATCTGCAAATTGGAGATGAGATATACTCAACTCTTCAGAACCAACTATGGCATCTTGAAATAAACCTTTCTCAGTAGCCCTCCCTAATAACAAATTAAGAGCTCCAGCTGCTATAATGAACAAGAAAGGTGATAAAGGGTCACCCTGCCTTAGCCTTTTTTGTAGTTGAAATTCCTCAGTGAGTGTACTATTAACCAAGATAGAAATTTTAGCAGTTGAAATACAAGTCTTCATCCAACTAATTCATTGTTCACCAAATCCAAAGTTTCTCATCATAGATATTAGAAACTTCCAATTTATTGAGTCATATGCTTTCTCAAAATCTAACTTAAATATAATCTCCTTCTTCTTAGATCTCTTCCACCCATCTACTACCTCATTTACTATTAACACCTCATCTAGAATGTACCTTCCACAAACAAAGGCAGACTGAACCTCACTTATCACAGTTGGAAAAACCCTCTTAAGTCTTCTAGATAACACCTTGGCCAAGATTTTGTAGACTGAACTAACCAAGCTAATTGGCATATAGTCCCCCAAGCCTATAGGATTGTCTTTCTTAGGGATAAGAACAATAAATGAGTTGTTAATCCCTCTTGACAACTTTCCATTAGTGTGAAATTCATGCATCAACTGAATTATTTCCCCTTTCATTATTTTCCAACAACTTTGTATGTAGGCCAGGTTAAAACCATCAGGACCAGGGGCCTTGTTCCCATCACAGTCTTGGATTGTTTCCCAAATCTCAACTTCAGTAAATACAGCTTCCAAACTCACTGTTGCCTCAGGGCTAATAGTAACAAAAGGGCCTGACATTTTTGGCCTTTGTATCCATTGCTCAGAAATTTGCTAACTAAAGTGCGTAACCACCTCTTGTTTCACCAGAACTGGATCCTCTAACCTCACACCCTCCACCAAAACTGAGTCTAACATATTCTTTCTCTGCCTACTGCTTGCCATAATATGAAAGAACCTTGTATTTCTATCACCAAATCTAACCCACTGCATCCTGAATTTTTGGTGCCACAACCTCTCCTTGTTTCTGTTGAGCTGCCACACCTTGGATCTGACTTCTCTTCTTTTTTTAATTTCCAGAACAGTCAAGGACCTGGATTCTGCCTTTAGATCCCATTCATGTAGCTCCTCCTCAGCTGATTTTAGTAGGGTGTCTATGTTGCCAAACACATCCTTGTTCCACACCCACAGATGATTCCTCAAAATGTTCAACTTTCTCATGACTATACCTTGCCCAACCTTGCACTTGTGTGTCCTCCCACCTCTTTTGACTTCAGACATGAAGGTAGGGTGTGATCTCCAAGCATTAATGAATTTAAAGGGCTTAGGTCCCCAATCCCTATCATCCTTTTTTAGCAATATTGGACAATGATTTGAAATTGTTCTAGATAAGCCCCATTGCTTAATGGCAAACTTCTCCAACCATTTTGGATCTACCAGAAATCTATCTATCTTGCTCCACTTATCTTTTTCCACTGCATTACACTATGTGTACTGTCTCCCTAGCATAGGCATGTCAATCAATTCCAACTTTTCTATAAACTCATTAAAGTCTGACATCTTCCTCTCTCTTCTAGAGCAACTCTCTCACTCATATATCTAATTTCATTAAAATCCCCTCCCACACACCAGGGTAATGGAAAGTGTTGGTTAATACTCACCAAAGATTCCCAGATTTGTCTCCTCCTCACAACCTCATTTGGAGCATAAATATTAACAATAACACATGGAAAAGAACTACAAGCTATACCTGATAAAATGATGAAGTGCTTACTACTACAACAATCCTGAAGCTCAAAAACCTGAGGTTTCCAAACACACAAAAGACCAGCAGCACTTCCATCTAAGTCTACCAGCATAAACTCTATCTCCTCAAACGGCCAAATTGTTTTGACAAATCTATCATCCATTGAGCTTCTTTTAGTTTTTTGGATTAACAATACATCTATATCCCTTTCCCTCACTAGATTCTTTATTTTTCCCTTTTTTTCTGGCCTTTTTAGCCCTCTAACATTCCATGATAAGATCTTCATAATAACCATCACAACTTACACCTTAACCCCTTTTTAGCAACCAGTTAGGATCTGGTTGCAGCTGCTTCGACTGCAATTCTTCTCAAATCATTCTCTTCCAATTCTACTATTTTGCTCACTACCTCCTCCTCTTAGCCTTGACACTGCATTCCCAGCAATGCTCCAACCTTCACTGTTGATTGAGCCTCCTCAACTAGATTTCTCCTTCTTTTCAAGGTCTGATTTTGGGAGATAGACAATGAATTGGTTGCAGCCATTGCTAAGGCTCTGAAGATGGCCCCTCTTTGAAAACCAAGCCTACCCATCATGCCTTTTTGTTTCATATGGCCTCTAACTATATTGACGCCCCTCCTTTGATCACTGCCCTTTTTCCCTGAGTTACACCATTTCTTTGCTGCTGCTTTCTTGAATTTTCTTCCTTGACCAGCCCTATTTACCACAGCCGTATGGATGGTTTGGACAAGAGTTGGTCTGATTTGGGTCCGGGCCACACAGTTACTGAGATTCAACCTCATCCTCTTATTTGGCCCACTGGGCTTAGGCCCAACCTGCATGCCTTCAAGTAGAACTTCTAGACTTATATTAGTCCTTGCACCCACTGGCCCACTCAGCTCTTTTAAAAAACCCACAGTACATATATCCTCATCCAACTCATGAGTTTTATTCATCATTGCCTGCTGTGAATTGACTTTCTACACCAGCCCTTTCTCCCTAGAGCATGCACCTGCTAGGTCATTCCCCATGCCACCCTCTCTAACAACTACACCTACTAGCATTTCTCATGCCACCCTCTCTAACAACTACAGCTATTGCATGCTTACCATCATTTCCTTTAACCTACTCATCTGATCTGGCCATCACTGTTTCCAATACCCTACTAACATCATCACAACCATCTACACCATCCTCTTCTTTGTCTGAAGAAGCTTGCCTTGCAATCTTGCAATTACCACCATTGCCGGACATCTGATCTGCCCCTACTTTTGCATTGGAGTGCAGTTACTTATGTTGCATACTTCTGCTACTACTTGAATTCGAGAGTAAACAACTAGGGACTTCTTCACAGACCCTAACTGGAATGTGCTTACCTTTGTGCCCCAAAAATATTGTCACATTGATCATCTCCATACACTTTGTTATCATTCTTACCTTAGTTTGCTGGAAAGTTTGTGGATTATTAATATCTTCTTCGAACTGAACTACCACCCCCCAATGACTACCAATGTTTTGAATAGTTGTAACACTCCAGAGATGTATGGGAATGCCAAAACAATTCAACCATGCACACCTCTCTTGCTCCACAAACTAACCTCTCCCCCATTCTTCAATTGAATCACACCATTGCCTTCCCAACTCTTCTAGTTATTCCTTTCCAACCTACATGTGCTGTGATGAGGGAAAGGTAACTATGCGCCCAGCCCCCTCTCTTGCAACTACATCCTGTATCCCTCTTTTATAGAGTTTTGCTCTAAAGTCCTTAAAAGCTAAAAAGCTGCTCAGCTGTACTACTAAGCTTTCATAGCACCAACCATTGCATTCTTCATTAGCTTTTATTACCACCTGCGCACCCACTTTGGCACTTCCCCTTGCTACTGCCTCCGCAAAAGTCTTCTTAACTCCATTTCCCAGCCCCCGCTACATTTGGAGCCCCTGATTCTTCCTTCTCCCATCTTCGCCTCTGTTTTGCCCCCTTTGCTCCGGTTGACCAGCTCTTTGAGGTTTTTGAAACTCTGCTCTTTTGACCCTCAGTTCCTTGTTATCACACCACAGCCCATCTGCCTTCTGGATTGCTATCCCTGCAGCCACCTTGCAATCATATCTTACAAACCCAAATCTAGATCTTGAAGCTTTCCTTCTCTTTCCTGGAATAAACATATCCTTAACTAAGCCAAACTTCCGAAATAGGTTGAACAATCTTTTAGGACCTATGGAATCTGGAATGTTATCTATGAATATAGTAACTATCATCGCCTTCTTCCGAAATCCATGCTGGCTACCCACTTTTCTCCTTTGTATTAGGGGTGAGCAGGGGATATACCGATCTGCCAAAACTGACTGAACCGAACCCATCCACTACATTTTGGACGGATGCGTGATGACGAGCAGACGGTTGCGGATTGATTTTCTCCAATCTGCCAATCTAGCAGACGGATGGCGGATTTGAGATTCCTTTGGCCGCAACCGAACCGCCAAATCGCGAACACCCCTAGTAATTTATAAGACTTTGTGTTTTCAGTTTGTTTAAATATTCTGTTTGTGTTTTCAATTAAAAAAGAGTTTAAATATTCTGTTGAAAAAAAGTTTTCAACTTGAATATCTTTTTTGAATTGAAAAAAATAAACATATTATTTATCTATATTTTTTGGTTTTTAAATCTATCTCTAAAAATAATAAATAGAAAATATGATATATACTGGTTGGTTTTTGTTTTCAAAAACAAATATCGATGTAACAATACAGAGACATACAATCTCTACTATTACTCTGTTCATGGTTTTGATAGTTTGAATTGTTTTTATATTTTAAGAACCACATATTGTAATACTTTATGTAAATGAGGCATACTGTGATTGTGACATTCTAAAGTTTCAAACTTTCTTACTTTGGATGAAGCATACAGTGATTGTAATATTTTTTTAAGTCATTAACTGTAATACTTTCTTTTTTTCTTTTTTTTGAGGAAGTACACAAGTTGAATTATATTAAAAATTTATAAAATTTTAAACCGCCAAACCGATTCGCATCCATCCGCCAAACCGCCAATACGCTCAATCCACATCCGTCGGGTTGGTGGAAGGATGCGGATTGATTTTCTCCAATCTGTCAATCTGACGAACGGATGGCGGATTGGAAATTCCATGACTGCAACCGACCCATGCCTGCCCTTACTCTGTATCACTGGGTTCCAACCTCCTCACTCCATAAGTTTTCTAAGAATTTACTTGGAGAGACTTGGTAAAACAAAATGAAAAACGATTTAAATATTAGAGTTTTTAAAGAGAGCTCTCTATATTGTTGTATATTTTATATTTATATTTTTGAGCAACTATGGTTTGTGACTTGTTCATATCCTCCTGATGAATGTAAATATTAGATAAGAAAAACTATTAGCGCTTGGATTATACCTTGGAGCCGTTGCACTCCAGTTATACCTTCACGTGAGAAGAAACAACCGCTTTCAGACAGTAACTACATGCCTCTCAATTTCACAGGTCAACTCTTTCTTACTCTATGGTTCTACTTACTTTTATATTTTTGTTCATCGTAAATCTCTTAATCATTTTGTTAATTAAATTATATTAAAACACAATATTTTTCAAACATTTTAATGATCCAACCTATTTATATTATGTTCGTAAAGCATATCATCTATAAAAAAAATTAAAAAATTAAAAAAAAAATCAAGTTAATGGGGGAACATGTGAACTCTGTGATCAAGTTCTTAATGTTTTAAAATAATTATCAAAATTATTCAAACGGTCCATTTTTTAAAAAATAAATGTGATCTTGTTTTGAGATTATATATATCTACTTAATTTAAATTTTTTTTTATAGATAATTTATCCAATAAATTTTATAATATAAATAATTTTGATCAATGATATAGACAACACGATGATGTGCCTTAGGCACATCACGTTTCCCTGTTCTAGTGATAAACAACTGTGTAATTGACCTATTTAGTTGATCAATTGTACTAGTCTTTATGTTTCAGCCTATACATCCTATTTTTTTTTTGCATTTATTACATAGTAAGTTTTTGCGCTTTGCTTCCCAGATCAGATTAGAGGGTACTGTGAGACTCATGGAGTCCTACCACGGGTCCAATTCGATAATCCGAACTACTCAATATGTAGAACTCGCCCAATACTATATGTCTATAAAATATCACGTTAGTCAGATATCGATAACAATCTCATCGAATCAGTTTTTTGTCAACCATTTATTTTTTCACCGTCTATTTTTTTTATACAAAACTAATTTGATCATGTAGTTATTGAATATCCAATCAACGTGATTTTTTACAAGAATATAATACTCAATAAGTTCTACACGTTGTACGATTTGAATTATCGAAACGGGAATAGTAATGGCCCCCATGGGCCCAACAGCAACTTCTAATCCGATGTGAAACTAGAAGGAAGCTAGTGCCAAAATTTTTATGTCATTAGGTGGTTCTCACTTTATCATAAGTATTAAAAAAAAATTATTGAGTTTAAAAATATTTAGGGTTAATTACAAAAAAAAAAAAATCTCAGAATTTCACATGTTTTTTTATTTTTAATTTCGATAAATTAAACCTTAAAATTTTATTTGTGTTTCAATGTGAACCATCTCTGTCTCACTTCATCTTCTTCTTTTTTTTAGATTCAAATCCACATATTCAAACCTTCGTATCTCTCTTCGTCGTAATTCTATGTCGTCTTATTTTCGCGTCGCTGGATTCACCTTATGACCTAGTTTTCATTCCATCTCTCATATGCTTTGTTTCACCTCTTTTTACATACCATCGAAACTTCGAATGTTGGCCAAAAATTTTTTTTTCTTCTATTATCACGACAATATTCTTTGTAGCGGAAAAGCAATGGATCATGCTTGATTTGAAACCAAGGTGTCTTGATAAGCTCACTGACCCGTTTGGTTTTTTTATTTTTGTGGGTAGTTGTATACCTATCACCATTGAACGACATTGCTATTGTTAGAAGTTCGATGGTCACCACAAGTTTTGTGGAAGGGCATAAAAGAAGAGGAAAAGAGAGAATAATTGTGAAAAAGAAGAAGAAAGAAAGAAGCATGGAGATGAATAAATAAATAAATAAATAAATAAAAATCTTATTTTTGGCCAACTTTTAAAACTCCGATGGTATACAAAAAAAGGTGGAACGAGGCATATAGGGGGTGAAATAAAAATTAGGCCATAAGATGAATCCAACGACGTGAAAATGAGGCGAAACGAAATTATGACGAGAGAAATACAAGGGTTTAATCAGGTGGGTTTGAATTTGAAAGAAGAAAGAAGATAAATTGAGATGGAGACGGAGGGGTCACATTGAAATACGAATGAAATTTTAGAATTTAATTTATCGAAATTGAAACTCTCGGGTTTAAATTGACAAACATGCAAAACTCTAAGAATTTTTTTTAATTAACCCACATATTTATACAATCGTCTAATAAATATTTTGACTTATTTTGTATTTATAAGAATTATTTAATCTTTATTGATACGTCAAAATTTATTTTTTATTTTTTTTATTTTTTATTTTTAGATAGGTGATATGTTTTTAACTTTCAAATTTTTAAAAAATCAAGAACAACGAATTGCTAAAGTTCTAAAATATAAAAATCTCAAAATAGTATATAGTTAAGCAGATATAATACAGATCATTAGTAGAGCTGCTTTAACAGCAGCCCCACTGAACTGCCATGCATAAAAAAAATAAATAAATAAATAAATAAAAAGAGGGAAAAGACGACACAAGAAATAAAAGGACAAATTAGTATTCTTTTAGTCTCTAAACCATTTTTTATAGTTAAGAGTTGTCCATCAGGGCCTTTCCTATTTAATGCCACTTTGACGAAGAAGAGGTAACGTATACGTTGGGAAAATATAAGATAAAGTCGGTGTTTGCTTGATTTGACTAATAATATAATTGCTGGTTTGTTTTCATTTTTCAAGAAAATATTTTGCAAAAAATTTCGTTTGGTTTGTATTTCTGAAAAATTTTTGAAAAATTTTCTCTACAAATAAATTTTTAAAAGTAATCAAACCAAACAAATTTTTCTAAAAAAATTTCTCAAAACTTGTAAACCAAACAAGTTTTCCAAACAAATCTCTCTCTCACACACATCAAATCAATCACTTTTTCCAAAACCCTCTCTCAAAATAATTTTCCAAAACATCTTTTAAAAAAAACCAAACCAAACAACTTTTCGTACTTTTTATCTCTAAAACACATCTCTCAAACACAATCCAAACATACCCTTTATTTTTTTATTTTTTGTGTTTTTTTATTTTTATTGAATTTTTTAAATATTTTAAGCAATTTTTTTATTTTTTATACACACCTAACACAAATATACTTAAAAAGTAAAATAATTATAAAAAAAATCTTTTAAAAATTCACTAAATACCAAAAATATAATAAAAAAATACAAGAATTCAGTATATTTTTTATATTTTTATGTATTTATTAATTTTTTAAAATATTTTTTCACAATATTTTTACTTTTTAGATACATCTAATTAAGGTGCATCTAAAAAAATAAAAAAAAATCTTTAAAATTTAAAAAATATTCACAAACAACAAAAGAATACGAAATCAAAAAACTCAATTTTCAAAAAATTTAATCTAAAAAACTCAAACCAAACACACTGAGCCTGTGTTTGGCAAGGGCTTTTTCAGGCTTTTTTGGCTATTTTAGCCACAAAAAACAAAATAGGCTATTTTAGCCATAACAAACAAAACATCACATCCAACCTATAATCATTACATTCTTCTCTCACAAAAAAAGTCAAAAAAGTCAAAAAGCCCTTCCCAAACCAAGCTTTTTAACCCAGACTAAAATAGCCAAAAAAGTCAAAAAGCTAAAAAACCAACCCACTTCTCAAACGGAGGCTGAGTAGATGCTAAAAATAGTCTAGAATATTGATGATCAATCCACTTTAATTTTTCTAATTCCAATATTCAACTACTTCTCTCAACTATGTTTAATTGTCTTATGTACTCTTAGTCATATCATATGATTTAATTTTTAATTTTTAATTTACTTATATAATTTTTAATTATGAAATTATGTGTCAACTATTTGATATAATTTTTATTTATAATTTATATAATAAAAATAGTTTAACTAAATTTAAAAAAAAAAACTAGATTATTCTGAATGAGGGGTAGATTTTTTTTTTTAATATTTCACTTATAAATTATTAAATACTAGCAAATGACCCGTGTCTGAGGGTATTT